ATTCTCTACCAGGTCTGACTTAGTGTAATACGTTTATCGGAAGAAGCATCCTATAGATAATTAAAATTAAATTTCTTATAGAGCTGACCGAGATAGTAAATTTCTTTTTACAAGAACTATATAAGTGTACGATCTTCTATTTGATCTTACTATAAAGCTATGAGTTCAAATAATACATAGTTTCCGGGCTATTCGCTTCATCAACTCTTTGATATACATAATAATGTTCCTGTTGAAGGAAAAGTAATGTTGGCTAGACACTTGATAGACATGAAACATGGCGTCTTCGATATTGATTTTATTTTCTACCTCATATCTAATCTTATTTCTTACTATCTTAATAATATTATAAATACGAATGTTTAGATGGATGGATGTTTGTTTGAAGGTATCTCCAGAACAACTGAACGGATCTCCATGAAATTTGACATACATAAAGAACACAGTCTGGAAGAACACACAGGCTACTAATTTTTCTTTTTTTTAAACCGCGCGGACGGAGTCGCGGGCGACCGCTAGTAGTTTAATAAAGGATCTTGTACTTGTATTTTTACATTACTATATAGTGCCAGATACAAATAATGAATAATTTTACTAGACTTACAAAGCAAGTACACTAAATCATTTACCAGACCTACATAATAAAGTATATATGTACGTCTCTGTTATTGTATTTTATCTACTTTATTTACTTAAATGAAATTCCTAAATTTATATTCAACTTTGTGGCACTATCCTGTGCATCATAAACTTTGCTGCAAAACGACGATAACAAGAATAGTTTGAACATTTTCGGGAGTTAAAATAAAGTTTGAGGTGCATTAAGTGAATTCTGCTAGTTTATAAGCTGAAACTTTGGAAAGAACTTTACAGTTAATGCCCTTGATTTTGTAACACACGAACAGGTGTTCGAGTTAAATTCTACTTAGTGTTTGTTCTTTTCTTTAGAGAGTTTTCTTTCCTTATATAAGAATGCATTACAACGAAAAAATATCTTACTTAATTAGTCGTTTCTTTGTTTCCATTGAAGCTAAAAGGGTTTTATCGCTCTAATTATCTTATTGTTTGAAGGAGAAAGTTTTTCAACAAGTTGTATCGAGTCTTACTCAATTCAATGAGATGAAAATAGCCATACTCTAGTAGGATTTATTGACAATGATATATTTATGTTTGTACATTTATGTCCTATGCCTACCTACCTACCTATGCTACTAGTGTGTCTTTTAAGACTTTAATTCACGCTTGAATAAAAAAAAATAGAAATTTGTTATATAAGAGATTCACATAATATACTTAAAATTATTTTAATTTATGGCTTCAAAAATAAATATAACAAATAAATAAATGTATTACTTTAAAAGGGTCGGCTGTATAAAACACTGGAAAGCTCCGAATGTCGTTACCATTATGGAAATTCGGCCTCACATCGAGGCTCTTACAAGAACGCGGTTACCTGGATTAAACTACATTATTCCTGATTTATTCGGCCTTACGGAATATTCTTTTCTCATCTATACATTATAATATTAAATATAATTGTATTGTAATATACGCCGTAGAATTGATATAATAATACGGGGCTTAGATTTTAATTACATTCCATGTTCAAATTAAAACTAGTCACTAAATTAAGACAACTATTAATTGGCGTACGTTTTTTTTAACTCTTATAGTGAATGGAGCTTCTTATGAATTGCAGACATGAATAATTCGTGATGTCAGTCACGTGGCGGGTAGATTTTTAGCTCGGTAAAGCTGTTAATTGAATTTTCTCGCAGTGATTAAAATTCATTTCATATTTTAATCTTATTTATAAAACTTCTTCAACGTAAAGAGTATCAATAATTGACAAAAAATATATATAAAGGAATACATATACTTAAAGGATATATAATGTAATACAATATATACAAATACATTACAATAAATATACGTCGGTGGCTCAGGGGTCAAGCACTTGAATTGCAATCTGCAGGTCCTGAGTTCGAATCCCGCCATGTACCAATGTGTTTTTCGATTTCCGATTTACATATTTACATTTATCCGACGTTCTTACGGTGAAGGAAAACATCGTGATGCAACCTGCACATATCTGAGAAGTAATTAAAAGATATGTGTGAAGTCAACCAACCCGCACTTGCCCAGCGTGGTTGACTATAGCCTAGTCACCCGTAACTTAGGGTAGGCTTCGAGCCCCTCGGTGGGGACGTATAGTGAGCTGATGATGATGATGAAATATACATAAAGGAATTCTTATACACTTTTGATAATTTTAATTGAAGAATGTAAATGAAGTATTAATGCGAAGTTAAATTTTGGTTTTGAAACATTTGTGTTCACTTGTATCAAAGTAAGCGAATGAAATTTGATATTCAATCTAAATAACGACATACTCGTGTTGAAACGTTTACTCTGCTTTGAACGAAATCCATTTTCAAGCAAGAATCAAAGCAAGCGAGATTTTTTTTTTGGCTTTGATCAAACAAATTGCTCCAGATCTAAAGGCTCTTATATAAAGCTTTTTTATTCCAATAAAATGTATGCTACAAATGGTT